AAGGCAAGAAGCCGAGAGGCAAGATGCCACCGTGCGCACCCTTCGTGCACACTGCCGAGAGGAGCGCAAGCAGCAGCACCCACGTGCTTCTGTGAACTTCTCCGAGTTTTCAAAGAAGTGCTCAGAGAGGTGGAGGATCATGTCTGCTAAAGAAAAAGGAGAATTTGAAGATACGGCAAAAGAGGACAAGGCTCGTTATGAAAGATAAATGAAAATGAGGCCTCCTTCTGCCTTCTTGTTCTGTTCTGAGTATCGCCCAAAAAACAAAGGACAACATCCTGGCCTCTCCATTGGTGATGTCGCAAAGAAACTGGAGAAATGTGGAATAACTGCAGCAGATGACAAGCAGCCACACGAGAAGAAGGCTGCTGAGCTCGAGGAAAAGTGAGAAAACGGCATCGCTGCCTACCGGGCTGAAGGAAAACCTGATGCAGCGAAAAAGGAGTCGTCAAGGCTGAAAAAAGCAAGAAAAAGAAGGAAAAGGAGGAGGAGGAGGAGGAAGATGAAGAGGACAAGGAGGATGAAGAGGATGATGAATAAGTTGGTTCTAGCGCAGTTTCCTTGTCTATAAAGCATTTAACTCCCCTGTATACAACTCACTCCTTTTGAAGGAAAAAAAATTGAAATGTAAGGCTGTGTAAGATTTGTTTTTAAACTGTACAGTGTTTTTTGGGTTTTTTTTGTATAGTTAACACACTACCGAGTGTGTCTTTAGACAGCCCCGTCCTGGTGGTATTTTCAGCAGCCACTAACCTTGCCTGGTACAGGATGGGGTTGTAAGCCGGCATGGAAATTGACAGCAGGCTCTTGTTGGTGCACAGCACAAGTTAGTTATACATGGGATGGTAATTTTTCACCTTCCATTGTCTCTGATGCAGCTTATATGAAATAAATGTTGTTCTGTTAACTGAATACCACTCTGTAATTGCAAAAATAAATTGCAACTGTTTTGTTGACAATCTGCATGCTTCTAAGTAAACACAATTTTTTTTTTAATTAGAAAAAAAGGAGGGGAAGCATAACACTGGGTGAGGGAACCTCTCCAATCACGGTGCCAGGACAGCCACACGCACAGGACTGAGCCAGACCCTGTCTCCACCACCTGCTAAACCAAAACAGATCTAGGGTCTAAATGACAAGCAATCTGCTGAGACAGCAGGCAAAACTGTTAAGGACACAGGGGCAGGAAAGGACTCCACACAGCCAACGGCACCAAGAATCAACAAACGGGATCACAACAAATCAGAGCGCCTCTGCGCCACACAGGGTCACCCAGGGCAAAGAGACAACCTGAGGAGCGGGAGGAAACGTTGCCAGGCACTTCTTGGATAGAGGACTAATATCTAAGATGCATAAAGAACTCAAAAAACTAGACCGTCTACCCCCAATTCACAGGCAACCAAAATGAGCAGACGTTTCTCAGAAGTACAAATGTTCAACATCACTGGCCCACAAGAAATGCAAGTTCAAACTGACAGGCCCTGGCCCTAGTCTGAATTGCCGAATCATCGTGGTGGTCCTCTAATGTGGCTGAAGCCCTTAGAGACCAGCTTACCTTCCCAGAGACCACCCCCCTCTTCTCCCCGCTTCTTCTCCAACGCAGCCCGGGGTGCACTCTCCTTTCACCCTTCCCGCCACCTCAGGGAAGGCCCGAGTCAGCTCCCTCAGGTGTACCCAGACATCCCCTGCAAGCTCCACTCCTGGCAAAGGCCATCTAATCTAGAGAATTCCTCACCTTCCCCACATTCTCTCTGTGTCCTCAAAGACAATAAAGCCTTTTTCCCTTTTTCCTTCTGCCTGTTTCTCTGCTGCGCTGGCGCCTGAAAAAACCTATCAAAAACAACGCTGTGATAGCCCACATTCCAGGAAATATGGCCATCATGAAACGAAACAGTAACGAACGTCAGCAAGGATGCGCAGGGAAAAGAAGATAACTTGCTTGCTTGCTCGCTCTTTCTTTCTTTCATCTTGTATTTATTCATTTATTTAGTACAGGGTCTCCCTACGCAGCTCGGACTCCTAGTGATCCTCCTGTCTCAGCCTCCCCACTGCTGGGATTCCAGGCACGGGCCACGCGCAGGGTTTCGGTCGCAGGCACAGCACCCCCCAAAAAATCTTCTATACTGTTGGTGGAATGTAAGCTAGTAAAATCTCTATGCAGATCAATATGGAAATTTCTCGAAAATCTAAAAATAGAAGCTCGGTCTGACCCAGCTAGCCCCCTCTAGGCACCATCCCGAAAGAGGCCGCATGTCACAGGGTGGACGCACGTCCACATTCATAGCCGTGTAATTCCTAACAGTGAACTTGTGGGGAGGGCCTGTGTGCCACCGCCACACAACACACACAGGGAACGGACTCCCACGCAGCGGAGTACCGCTGCCGTACAGACAGACCTGAGGCACCTGGGAGAACAGAGGCACCAGAGGCCACGATGGAAGGTGAAATAAATCACACCCGAGCTTAAATATCGCATGCTTTCTCCTACAGGAGAAACTGGGTGGAGGGTGGGGGGCACAAAAGCCATATAAAGAGGAAGCAAGGTGGGCTTTCTTACATGGATATGGGTAGGAAAAGGAAGAACAGAAGGGAAAAAACAATCAAAACAGGGTGCTTGCAAATGGGGAAAGGACCAGAGCTGGAGGGAGCAGGGGGGAGACAAAGAGCAGGAGCAGCACTCAGGCGCAGGCTGGGGCCCTCCTCACGATGACCTTGCTCCTCCTGCCCTGTCCACTCGCACAGCGAAGGGAAGCAGAGCTGCACTTCCGAGCCCGCCCCTGCCTTCCTGTCGCCGTGTGAGTCTCCGGTGCGGGACCCAGAACTGCCCCAGCCACATGCAGAGACACGGACGGGACCAGCTGCGCACAGCGAGGCGCAGAGGACGCAAGCTGTGCTTCTGCTGCGCCCTCAGGAGGACTGGTCTGGCTGGACCAGCAGCATGGGAACGGCTGAGGGACACTCCTACACGGCCTCAGTTTGCCCAGCCCCACTCACCCGATCATCCACCAGCACAGCACCAACCTGTCCCTGGGGGCCCAGGGTCCCCACCACACAGCCGCTCTGCCCTTCCTAGAGCACCTCTGCTCTGGTAAGCCTCTCCCTCTTCCCAGTGCTTCGCACCGAGACGTCCTGACTTCCTATGGCTTCTGGCTCCCAAGAACTTGGGCAAAGGACCAAAGGTAGCCGCGCCTTCCTGGAGACAGACCACGCCCTACGGCTGTGGAAAGTGGCCAGGCTTGTAGGAGGTGAAAGGCAGGACAGGTGAGTCCAAATCAACCTCAGCTTTGTACAGGCAGGGAACAGCCTGGCAGCGAGCTGCAGCTGCCCTTCCCAGAGCACATGAGCCAGGCTTCCAAGTGCAGGCTCAATGGCAGCCGCACCTCTACGCATGACAGGTGCCACACCTGCCTGCTTGGCCATACCACTAGCAAAGCCTGGTTCTACAAAGGCCAGGACAAATCTGGAGGCACCCCTCCCTGTCCCACATGCTTCTGAGCAGGACCACCAGGCATCGTGCCCCCAACCCCGGCCTAGGGTACCCTCTGTGACTGGGCACCAGGGTGCAGCACAAAGAGCACGTCGGAGACAACAGGAGGGTCCTTGCCCGCACTCCAGTCTGCTGATCTTCAAGGGTTCCTGATGGCCCGGGACTCTAGGGTCCCAAGGATAAAGTTGAGAACCCCGCCCCGAGCCCCCTCTCCATGGGGACAGGCTCTAGAGAGGGGCAGGCTGTCAGGCCAGAGGCTCGTGCACGGCTGCAGTGAGAACACAATATTCAGGCACCCAGAGTTTTGCCAGGGCCCAGGCGCAAGGCTTCTCCATGTGCCTGGGCACAGTCCTGGGACACTGCTGGCTCAGGTCTCATGAGAACAGCAGGGTGGGGTGCACCGGCCTGTCGTCGGGGATGCAGGAGCAGGGCATCAGCACGCAGCGCAGCCACAACACCATCTATGCTGGCCACAGCAGCCCGCTCTGGACTCAGGCTAGGACAGTGGTGGGTGACACCTGAGAACACTAGTGCCAAGTCCGTATGGTCCCTGAGACATCAACAGGACATCACCTAAGATCCACTAAGTACTTTGTGTTCAAGAACACAATGGCTGGACCTTGTCAGTTCTGCTTCCCATCCTCAAGTGCCCTGGAGCCTGCTGGGTCACCGTGCATGCACTGAGGTTGCAGGGAGGGCCGGGAGGAAACCCAGGCAGCGCGGGCATGGCGCTGTGCCTAGAGATACAAGGCAAAAACAAGTGGCCGTGCCAAAGGCCAAAGTCCCCACCAATGTCAAGGGCCTGAAGGTCACTTTCACCCTGCGGGACAACGGACAAGAACACACATCACCACAGCACTGTTTCCGGCCTTCAATGCCAACTCGACAGAGTCCCACAGAACTCTGTCCCATAGTGAACACAGCTCTTTATCACATGTAAGTAAAGCCCTGTCTCCCAGAATGCTACAAGCAACACCACAGAGCCTCCTCACTTCAGGGGACAGCCACCCAGGCCAGGCCACCAGCTTGCCCGAGCCCGGGCCGGCCTCAGCCTACACGCTAGCCAGCTGCCCGCCACCTAGATTCCTATGCAGGCACTGAGCAAGCAGAGGCGGCCCAGGCTGCCAACCGGGACAGCGGCCAGTGGCCCGAGTCGGGGGCCACACACTTACCGCACAGGTGACTTCTGAACATCACTCGAGCATGCTGCGCCTGTCCTTCAGGACACTGCGGTGCGCGCTGTCCTATGTGACAGGGTCTGGAAGACAGAAGATCTGATCAGAAGCCACCTGCGACAGAAAACTGCACAGCAGTTCTCCGAGGATGACTGACCGTTGGCAGCTGCTACAGGCAACGTGACATTTTACCCACAAAGTGCTGTTGCTCGAGGCTACCCTTAAGTACTAAGTCACTG